TTGCAAAGGAGCAAAGGAAAGCCAAAGAGTTGAGGGAAGCAAAGGAGGAGAGGACTGGTGCAAAGGAAGTTGAAGGAACAGGGTCAGAAGGCAAGAAAAGGAAGACTGCAGACAGTGATGCAAGTGGCTGTGAGACTGCCACTGGCCTGCCCAAGTTCCCAAGGGCAGCTCTTGGACCTGTACCTGGTGCTGAGAGGCTAGATGAAGTTGATGATGAATCAACTGAAGAAAAGATTAAGAGGCAAAAGGCTGAATGGCAAAAAGAGCTGAAGGAGCCTTGTGCATTCAGTCTGTGGCAACTTTAGGTACTTTTTGGCACCTTGCAAATCAAGAACCCCTACTCCCAACTAACTAGGTCTCCAACATATAATAAATAGGTAAGAGGCTTAATATGGGTTGGCCAATGATGAACTATTGGTTGTGCCAGTAGGTTCTGTTTGTGGACATCCTGTCTACTTGGTAGAGGTTGGTGATGGTTGGCTGCATCAGGATCTGAATGCGAGCAGAGAAATTACCTCTGCCAGAGGTGCAGTGAACACTATTTTTGAAAGTGCTGCTATCAGCCCCTTGCCTTATTAGAGTATTGAAGGTGGATCCCAGTCATCACCTGTTTCCTTTGTTTGAAGCTTACTTTATTTTCTGTTAGCTGAGTCTGTGCACTTGGTCCAGTCCATTGGCCTAGGCCTGCCATCAGCAGAGCAAATCAAAGCTGCTCAAGAGGCACAGGCAAAGGCCCTTGCAGCAGCCAAGGCTGCTGCTGAGAAGAAGGCACCCAAAAGAAAGGCCAAAGCAAAAAGTAATCCCTAAAGCCTCAGAGTTTTTTGGCTGACTCAGTTTGACAAACAGGGATGTCATTTCACCAGGTTCCATGTTCAAGTCTAATTGAAGGGTGAGTGGGAGGGTGGGGTGCCAGACTTGTGCCAAGGCTCTACCATGGATGGCCCTTGGCCACTGACAGGCTGCGCATACACCATGTGGTGTTGGATGCCATGTCCAGGCAGCTTGAGGTTGTTTAACTGTTTGGAGGGAGTCTTGGCCCTAAATGATATGCCTGTCAGTCAGCCAGGGCCAAGACTTTAAACTTTAGGACTGTGCAGCTGATCATGTCAAAGTAGTGAGCTCTTCTGTTTGCAATGCTGTCCAAGGACCCCTGAATCAATGGTCACATCTAT